GGGTGCTTCTCAAACGGAAGGCTGCATCCTACCGAGGCTGCGTCCGTCCTAGTTCAGTCTTTCAGAGTCTTGTAGGCTAGAGTCCTCCTCGGCATTAAACGCTAGAATGAGACAGTCTAGTAAGTACACGTGGCTACGTCACATATGTTACTGCCCTCACCGCCACGGCACGAAAATACTAATAAAACTTAGTTTTGGAAAAATACTTTGTATTACAAATCATTCTATTATTTGGCTTTCTATTAATGCAATACAATGAATCACAGCCGTCTACTCTGCCGGTGGCTTAAATTATTTGCAGTTTAGCGTTTAGTGAGTAATTTACACCAAAACTAAAGATCGCATCTATCCTTTCATGTCTGAAAACATTATTTTTGTCTTACATTGCCTAATAAATTCAGACAAGCTCAGTACTGACTCGAGTTTGAAAATAAACTGACTTTATTTTCATGAAATGGAATGGGTACAAAGGATTGTGGGTGATTGAAGGTGGCGGAGGATACATCCCATGCATCCTTCAAATTCAGCTGAATGAAGGACGCGAAACGAGGGCTGCCTTCCAAGGATCCTTGCGATTGAGACGGCCTTCAGCGACATTTGAGGACGTGGCAGCCGAGAAATGTAGCCTTCCGTTTTAGAAACACCCATCAATTCTCTAATTGTTCTGTGAGGAGGCGAGGATCGAGGAGTGAGGAGGCTTCCTGAGGAGTCATGAGCGAGGATACACAGGTGTATCCTTTGCCGAAGTCTTTTTTGGTGAAAAAACGGATGCACATATAAATTCTCCTCCCCCTTCACACACATTTATATTTTACCTTTGCAGTTTAAGTAAACCATACCTGTCATATGTTTCAACAGAGCATCTTGCTTTATTAATATTTATTATGAATGCCTTAAATAACGAACTGTAACTGTAAACTGTAAACGATGTTTAGTCGATAAAACACTTCCGCAAAGGATACACCTGTGTATCCTCGCTCATGACTCCTCAGGAAGCCTCCTCGCG